TCACATCGCGAATCTTAGCTCCTGGCAAGCAGCAGACTTCTTGGTTTTCCCGGTCGGGGCGGCAGATAGATGACTCAGTCCCCCTGAGGAGAGAGTACCCTTCTCTTGGGAGCGGTGGTTGTGGAACCCCCAACCCTAGGACAGTGCATCTCATGCCTTCTAATCGGCTGAGTCTCCTTCTGCTCCCTTCCCTCAGACGTATCATCTGGTCCACTCTCCGCTTTAGTACCTGTGGAGAGAACATGAAAACGGTTACTTACTTGTATGTGCGTTGCTGGTACATGGACGTTCCCCTTTTTTCTTCTGGAGGTCACATGATGCCAATTTTCTTCACCGTCCTCCTGTCCCCGATGTGCAGCCTGGTCTGAATCTTCAGAACCTTGTGCCCGTAGAAGCATATCCTGACGTCTGTCCAAGAAATCTTCAGCCTTGCTAAATCTGTTATTCCCATCTCCTACTTCTGCTGTTCACCTAGGACGCTCTCTCATATGCAGTTTCTGTGGCCACCAAAATTCACTTTTTGGACATAGTCCAGAAAAGTAATGACAATGGTAGTCTAAATATGTCACTATCCTTATTCCTGATAATTTTACATTCTCAGCCCTGCTCTTTTCCAACAGATAAGCACAAAAATTTACTTTGTATCCTTCGCACTAAGTGAACTGGGAAGACTTTTCAAATATTCACAGAGGCCACTAGTGGCTTTAGAGTTTAACATGCACAAATATTGAATTATCTTTTGGCAGACAATCAGTAGAAAATGACTGCTCAAAGAATTTCTTAACACTCAGGAACCACTCCCTCGGTAGATTACTCAGTGCTCTGAAAAGAAGACACAAGGCGGAGCTGAGCTGTAAACTCTTTGGAGTAGGGACTGTCTGACTGTTCTGTGCCAGTGAGGTCCTGGTCCAAGACTGGGGCTCCTAGGCACCACCACACTATACATAACAATAGTGGTGTTCTCCAAACATTGCCACAAATTCAGACAATTGCAGTATGTTTCATTTAATGTTTCTTAGAAGAGACCTATTCTGTTCTCCAAACTCACAAGTACTCAAATGCCCACTCAGACCTCCCAATTCCAGAAACACTTCCAATCCCCTAATGTTTGTCAACCAATATACACATACACACACCCCTCGCATGGAATAGTTACCATGTTACATGATAATCATAAAAGTATTATGAGAAGAATTTGATTAGCTAGTGAATGTTCCAGTTGTGGAGGCACCAAGAGAAACCACATAAGTCAAACTCATTAACCAATTTATCTTGCAGGCAATCTTTACAATTGTCTAAGAAAAAAATAGTAAGGAAATCACATAAGTGTTACCTGCTATTTTAAGTTCACATTTTTCATATTTCAAATATTGTAGACTTTGACCTGGTTGGCACCTGTAGTTGTTTATGTGATTTGCACAGCAATCAGCCATAAGTTGAAAATGTCAAGTTCCAGTCCCCACCCTCTCTGGCTGGCTACCAGTAGCCATTCTGATTCTACTTCCATAGTAACTGAAGTTGAATAAGGTAAAGGCGAGCAGAGCACTTTTAGATATTTTAAAACCCCCGCTCTCCTGCTGGTAATAGCTCACCTTAAGTGATCACTCTCGTTACAGTCTGTATGGTAACATCCATTGTTTCATGTTCTCTGTGTATATAAATCTCCCCACTGTATTTTCCACTGAATGCATCCGATGAAGTGCGCTGTAGCTCACGAAAGCTTATGCTTAAATAAATTTGTTAGTCTCTAAGGTGCCACAAGTAGTCCTTTTGTTTTTTCAGAAAAAGTCAGACTCCCTGGTTTTCAGCCGATTTCCACTAAAATTGGAAATTGAAATCCGGGAAAGTAAAATAACGACTTTTAATTACCATTGATCTTTTTCTAAAGTTCCCCATTACATTCATGAAAATTGGGATGGGAAAGGTCACTGGCAGATAGTATTGGAGAGGGAAAGCTCTCACTTATCTTTTCCATTACTCAACTGGTAAACAGCAGACTACTATGAACCTTCATTCTATAATAATAAAATGTTTTTCTTTACATTTAAAAGTGTTCCCTTTTAGAAACAAGAGGAGCTTCCACACACTTAAAATGATTAAAAAATTTTCATTTAAGGTACAAATATTTATAAGAGCAAAAGCATGGTATTACCAGATCAAACTAAAGCATATACCAAGGACCTAAAGGACATTTATCGTATATTCCTCTTTGAGGGCCTGACTTCAGGGAGTCCTTCCAGTTGAGGTGCTTTGCATTGGTCTCTTAACGAGGTAATGAAAAACTATGATATTATCCCTTACCTTATGAGAGTCTTTTCATGTGTTATTGTTTACATATGTCAAAAAACACTGTTAATAAACAGTTTTCAAAAATTTGAAATACTTGGGAACAGCTAGGTTTAGAATGCTGAAACAGCTGATATTACTGACTCTTGTAGGTACAGCATGCAAGACAGTCCTTGGACTTTTACTAATTATCATTTAATAAAGAGATCCTTTCAGCCTGGGTCTCTCTTTTGGTGCCCTGTATTATTTTGTTGCCTTTGTCAGATTCTCACAGCACTCCAGGGTTTCGGTAACAGCTACATTGCTGCTGTCGCTCAGACAGATCGAGGTCTTTGATACTGAGACAACCCAGGAGCAGTAAAGAGGCAAAATAAATCAGTCTTTTTATCTATTTACATTGAAGTTTTTATACCAACTCTTCTTGACTGCTACTGCCCTATTAACTTCAAAGGCTTCTAACCTAACCAGTAAAGAGAAAGCCTTGTTAGTGCTACAAACTTGTTAGGCCAGAGTTTTGAGGGGTACTGGGAGCTCCAGAACTCCAAACATAATGTAAGGCAATTAAAACAAGTCACATTTAATTTTTTAGATTAGCCCTTTAAAGAAGCAACTGAGACATCTATGAAAAAATATTCAGGCTGAAGTCACCTTTTAAACTATTAAAAATGATTCCTTAAATTGTTTATTATGTACACTATCTCTTTATATGAAATATAAGATGGGGGGGTTGGGTGGAGGGGGTCATTCTGTTGTGGTTCTTTATGAAAAAGTCCTGAGCCTAAGACTAAGTATAAAACTATGTAAATATTTTTCTCCACTGTACATGTTACCAGCAAATACATTTCATAGAAGAAAGTTCAAAAATATCTAATTACCCTTTTTGTAAAATGGCAATGGAAAAGAATGTTTACACTGTTGAGAAATATTCAACTTTCTGTCTGCCATCTCAAAATCACAGGATGCTTGTGAAAGAAGAGGCTGCTCTTAGCTTAAAAGAAATGGATATTTCTAAGACTATGCAAACTAAGGTTCTGATCCTGCAATGAGCTCCATGTGAGCAGATCCCTAGACCCATACTGACACCCATTGACTTAAACTGGGTCCACACACCTACAATTCCATTGCCCTCTCCCCATTCTGAAGTTAATTAATTTTTAAGGTTTTTTTTAAAAAACTGACTGACTTTCCCCTCACATAGCAATAAACTTGAAGCTGCTATTCTAAGGCTGGGATGACAATTTGGAGAATGGGAGATTCACCTTTATCAAGAAACCTGTTTCAGTGATATTTACAGTCAAGCAAAATCCTTCATCCTGAGAGGGACTGAAATATGGCTTTAAAAAGAGAGTGTCAGATAGTTTAATCCCAAAATGCAGTTAATTTGGTGAGGAAGATAAACTGTACAAGAAAGAAAAACCAGTATTTTTATTTGAGTTTGAAGTTTGTTTATATTTAAATATTCCCCTGCAGGGTTTGCAACCCCAGAAGTGTGTTAACGAAAAAGAACCAGATATCAAGGTTGGTTAATAACAAATTGACAATGCTATGTTATTCTCCAAGATGAGAAATGTTTTTTTTAAAAATCAGCACAAATAATGAAAAACAAATTAGATTTGGAAGAGTCTTTCATTTTTACCCATCCAGGCAGTGGTTTCCAAACTGTAATACATAGACCACTGGGCTGTGGAAAGCTGGCTGCTCACATGGGACTAACTCTCCTCTTTTATTCTCCCATCTGCCAAAGCACATTACAAGTCAGGTAAACCACATTAATACCGGGAAAGTATTTCCTTGTTTTATGTTAGCAATTGCTTCTTGCAATATCGAAAGATGGGGAGATGCTCCATGACACTCCTCTGTATTCAGAGGTGCTCCACACATCCTAAAAACCTTGCAGCACCCCCAGCCTAAACAGCTATTTGGACTAGAGGTATGAATTATTTGGTTTTTAAAACACTTGATTTTTACCTGACTGGGTCCCCATCCAGCCCTAAGAGTTGGCAATTTCTCTAGGACTCTACCTAGAGGTTGTGGAATCGCCCTAAGTGGAGATTTTTAAGAGCAGGTTGGACAAACACCTGTCAGGGCTGGTTTATGTTTCCCTGGTCCTGCACTGGGCTGGGGCTGGGACTCTCCAGCCCTACCTTGCTGTGATTCAGGCCCTACGCAACCACCAGCGCTTCACAAACAGCACCAGACACAACCCCAGCCCTGGCAACCCCCCTCCCGCCGCAGCCCGCGGGCTGGGGCTCTGTGGGAGGAGGCACCCCCCAAGGCTCCCCCGCCGGCCTCCAGGCAAGCGGAGGGAGGCTGCGGTCCCTTCCTCAGTGTCAGGGGAGCAGCGCGGGACCCTACCCTGTCCCGGAGCTCGCGGCCAACGGCCAGCAGCACCCCCGGGCGCCAGGCACAGGACTCCCGGCCCTCACCAGAGAGCCCCCTGCCCGGCGCGGGACGCTCCGAGTCCGGCCGGCGGGCGGCAGAGGGCGCCGTGCGGGGCCCCAAGGAGGCGGCTGCTCGCCGCCTCCTCCCCCAGCCCAGCCCAGCCCAGCCCATCCCGCCAACAAACTTCGAGGGAGGCGGAACGTCCCTCCGCAGCCGTGTCCCCGCCCGCGGAAAGGAGGCGAGCGGCCGCTGCGGCTCCGGTGCCGCCTCCCCGCGTGCCCGGTCGCTCCCCCGCCAGCAGCGCGCAGACCGGAGCCCCCCCGGCCACTCACCCGGCGCGCAGATCGGCGGCAGGAGCAGCAGCGCGGGGAGCAGCCAGCCGCCGCCGCGCTCCCGAGGCATCCTGGCAGCGGCCACCGCCCGCGCGCGGAGGGGAGGGGAGCGGCGCGTCTGGCTCCCCGCCTCCCTCTGCAGCAGGAACTCAAGCCAGCGGCCTCGGGATGGTGCCTCTGCCGCCGCCAACCCGCCCCCGCTGGAGCGCGCCCGCCCGGCACAGCCGGGCGCCAGGAACCAGAGAGCTGCCGCGGCGCGTGAGAGGCGCCATCTAGCGGGCGGCAGGGGGAAGGGCGGCCCCGCGGGGCTCCACACACCTAGCGGCTGACGAGCCTGACGCACTGACCCCACCCTCCTGCAGAAACCCACCCGCCCACACACCCACACCTCCTCACCCCCATCGTACTCCCCGCACGTTCCCCTCTCCCTAGAGCCCCCCATCCTGCACCCCACACACTCCCGAGACACCCCACCCTACTCCCCCACATCTCCTCAGAGACACCTCCATCCTACTCCCCAGGTGTCCTTTCTCTCAGAGACCCTCATTCTACACCCCCCCCCAATATCCTCACACCCTCTGCCCCCAGAGGCACCTCCATCCTACTCCCCACACCTCTCCCCTTCCCCCAGAGATACCCATCCTACACCCCAACATCCTCACACCATCGCCACCCAGAGACACCTCCATCCTACTCCCCATAACTCCCCCTTCCCCCGGAGATTCCCCCCATACTATTCCACCACATCTTCACACACCCCATATCTCCCCAGAGACACCTCCACACACTCTTCCCATAGACACCTCCATCCTACTCCACACACCTCCCCACTCCCCCTAGAAGGTCCCCATCCTACATCTCCATCCTGCTCCCCCACATCTCCCCAGAGACACTTCCATCCTACTCCCCACTCCCCTCAGAAACCCGTCCGACATCCCCCACAGACACCTCCGTCCTACACCTCTATCCATCCCTCAGTCCCACTCAGAAACACCACTAACTCCTCACCACACCGCCAGCACCTCACACACACCAGTCCCACCCAGCAGAGACATCCAGCATCCCCATATGCACCTCAGCTCTCCCTCCACTGAGACCTAGCAGGGAGCAGCTACCATACAGATAGTTCCTTTACAGACACCTATAACTAGTCACTTATAACTAGGCTTGGAAGGATTAGATTTTGTATTCATAAGTGTCAGTATACACTGATTTCACCGCACACACACAAACCAATGAAACATATTTCCATCAATGATAATCAAAAGTTATGGATAGGCAAAGTAAGAACAATGCTGAATGAAAACTTAGTTTGATTTAAGGATATTTACTTTGTATATTTTGATGTGAAATTGACAATTTGTGTTTTAACAATTATAAAGCTTTAAATTTTTGAATCAACATCTATGGCAATTAAATAATTAATTGTGTGACACCCCCCCATAATTTCCCACAACTGTGAAATTTTAAATATATAAAAATAGAAAAAATCTGAAATATACATTATCAATCAAAATTTTTAAAAATTGAATTCTGCCAAGCCTACTCATTTAGGGCCCTACCAAATTCACAGTCCATTTTGGTCAATTTCACTGTCATAGGATTTTAAAAATCATAACTTTCATGATTTCAGCTATTTAAATCTGAAATTTCATGGTGGTGTAATTGTAGGGGTCCTGACCCAAAAAGGAGTGGTGGTAGGGTCGCAAGGTTATTGTGGGGGAGGGGTTTGCAGTACTGCTACCCTTATTTCTGCACTGCTGCTGGTTGTGATGCTGCCTTCAGAGCTGGGAAGCTAGAGATCGGCGGCTGCTGGCCAGGAGCCCAGCTCTGAAGACAGAGCCACTGCCAGTAGCAGCACAGACATAAGGAAGACCTGGTATAGTGTTGCCACCCTTCTGCGCTGCTGCCTGCAGAACTGAGCCCTCAGACAGCAGCTGCCACTGTCGAGCCACCCAGCTCTGCAATCAGCAGCGCAGCCAAAGTAAGGATGGCTTGGTATGGTATTGCCACCCTTACTTCTGTGCTGCTGCTGGCGGGGCGCTGCCTTCAGAGCTGGACGCCTGGCCAACAGCCACAGCTCTCCAGCCACCCAGCTCTGAAGACAGCGCAGAAGTAAGGGTGGCAATTCTACGACCCCCCTGAAATAACCTTTTGGCTCCCGCTGCAACTCCCTTTTGGGTCAGGACCCCAATTTGAGAAATGCTGGTCTCCCCTGTGAAATCTGGTGTTTTATGTGTTTTTACCCTATACTATACAACTTTCACAGGAACACCAGATTTCACGGTTCATGACACATTTTTCGTAGCTATGAATTTGGTAGGGCCCTACTCATAATCCACCTAAGACATCAATCCCACCCACTCATCACACCACATCTCTCCCCATGCAACCCCTCTGATAGGCCCAACTCTCCAACATCTCCTGAAGACAGCACTCCTGCATACATAAACTTTCCTAGACATCCAGAACCTCACAAAGACACCAATCACACCCCAACAACTGGACCAAAGACACCCAGCATTCCATAGGATGGCCCTCACGCAGACCAAGCCCCCCCTTCCTCAGACAGACAGCAGCTATCACCCCCAAACAACTACTCCACAAACACCCAGCACTCCTACACAAAAATCCTCTGGATGCCCAGCACCTTTAGAAAGACCAGTCCCAACTTGAGACACCCAGCACCTAAACTGCCCCCACACACACCCCTCTCTATATAAACTCGTTGCCGGTAGCACCCTTTCACTGATCCAACCAGACATACCAGCTTCTTACTAGAAAATACCCACCACCCCTCTACAGGACCAGATTATGTCAGTCTTTGGTGCTAGGCATGGGGCCCTCCAGGGCTCTGCCTCTGCTGCCCCGAATCATAGTTCTATCCCCTCTTGGTGTCGTGTTGGCAGGTGGGACCCCACTCCTCTTTACAAGGGGGTAAGGACAGCATCATGGGGCTGTCTTTCCCTCAGAATTGGCAGCAGGGACCTCACTCTAGTGCAGTACCCTACACTTGACCTATAAAATGGACTGTCTGATTGGATGAGTGGGCTTCTGCCATACATACAGTCTTCTCCTGGGGTGGTTTAGGTAGGGTACCCCAGAGCAGGGAGCCTTGGAGATGAAAGAGGAAACTCATCTTTGTCAGAGCTTTATTTTCAAGCTGTCTGCAATCTCAGGCAGATATCACTACATCATTTGCCCTTCATTCATGTTTTCAAACTGTTCTTGGGAACAATGAGAGGTGGAAACATGCTTTAAAAAGAAAAAAGCTGAGAGTCTGACATAGTCACATGACTCCAGGAGTGAGGGCCCTAGACATGGACATATAGGATATGTTTCTATGCTTCAGCTGGGAGTGAGCCTCCCAGCCTGTGTAGACAGACTTGCACTAGCAGAGCTTAAGCTAGTCCACCTAACCTCTATGCTTCAGAGCCTAAGCCACAGCATCCATCACACTGCTATTTTTAGCATACTGCCTCAAGCCCCGCTAGCGTGAATCTGTCTACCCAAGCTGGGAGGCTTGCTCCCAGCTGCAATGCAGACATGGTCCTAGGGCCTATGCTATAATCTGACCCTGCGCCTCTACACACAAACACATCTCTGTCCCCCCTCCCCTTCCCCACACACATTCAATTCAATAAGCTATAAAAGTTTTGCCAAAGTGTCAAAAAAAAAAAAAAAAAAAAGAGAGTGAGACACACACACACACAGATCCCTTGGGTACATGTCAAAAGTAGGTACACTCCACCCAGGATAGGGCTACAAACTGTGGGCCTATTTCTCCTCTCTCACCAGTTTTACACTATTCTGATGCCACTGACTTCAGTAGAATTACTCATGATTTACAATGGTACACGTGAGAGGAGAGTCAGGCTCTGTATTAGAGTTTGGGTCTCTCTCATTCATGTGTCACTACTGTGCATTCCTAAATCCAGTGGCAGAGTGCTATAGTTATGATGCAGCTCTCCTTTTTTCTAGTATTAGACACAAGTTTTGTCTTCACATTTTGAAATGACTTTTACGACTCCTAATACTTTGAGCCACCCACATAGAGAACACTCTCACACATACACTTTCCCTGTACATATCCAACACATTCTATAGACACAGACAACACATCAACTCTCACATTGACACCCTGCACTATCACACGCTATTTCTTCCCTTCATCTGTCTTGCATATTTAGACTAATCCGTTCAAAGCAGGGACTCTCTCTTACAATGCCCACAGGGCCACACCCTCAGCTGGGGTCTCTGTATACTATTATAATACAGGTGTCACACAGGCACACAACAAATACATGCACAGGCCTCAAGAGTAGATCCCATTTTGTTAAAACTTTAATTTTAATTGCATAATTGTTTCCAAAGTCTTTGAGGCTCAGGACATATCCACAATATATAAACGAACTCCGTCCACAGCCAGAAAACCTTTGCATGGACTTTTTGCCCACCATTCCACTTCAGCAAATAAATTTCTGGGCTCCAAAACAGCTATTTTGTTGTTGTGATTAACTGGAAACGTTCATACACAGAGACATCAGAGGGATACATGGTATGTTGTCAATTTGAAAAAAAAATTAATTTGTTCACCTGTCTATATTAATTTTTAATATAAGATTTTAAAAAGTACACCCCTCTGAATATTTTATATATGCTTGCATTTCATTGTTTCCCCCTATAAATCTGAGAAGTGTTTCCCAGACCTTTCCCAGATTTCTCAGTTCTGATGTGGGTTCTGTTTTGGATGGCTGTCACAAACAAGTTCCCCAGAGACAAAAGGCTAGCCAATGCCTCAGTCAGGTATCAATTCTGTTGTGGGTTCTGTTCTGGAGAGTAGTTGGATAGGCAAGGTATTCTTCATGGAGGGACTATGGCAATGGCATTCATTACCAGATTACGCTGAGTTTGAGACTTGCCATCTTCAAAATGGTGATTGTGACATTACCCAGGGTACAGTCTGGGCTGATGGACAGCTATGTGTCCCCTCAATTCCCAACCTGGGGTACCTTTTACACTGTTTTGCTGGGAAAGCAACCACTCCTGGTCTGCTCACACACAGCCTCTAGCATGTAAATCACTCCCAACTATACTGTATGAGTGCTCTAGCAGCCACTCGAATTACGCTACAGGGCAACACCATCAAACTTCCAGTCCCAGACTTTCCCCCAGTTCCTGGGTGGGTGCTCGACCCCGCTCTGCCCCAGGCCCCACCCCCACTCCACCCCTTCCTCCAAGGCCCCTCCCCTGCCCCTTCTCATCCCCACCTCCCTCCTTCCTGCCCTGTTCCACCCTCTCCCCACCCAGTGCCTCCTGAACACCACTCAACAGCTGATCACGGCAGGCAGGAGGCACTGGGAG